TTTCCAGGTGGCTAGCCTACTATCAGTATAATAATAAATGCTTTCACTCGATGCTGTGTCAACGATTGAACTAGTTTGTTACTCATTTAATAATTTTTTTTGCCGATATATTGACAATGACTATATTTCTTTACGAGACAATAAAATCTTAGTTTAATTTATTAAAACATTGAAAATCTATATCAGAATCTTCGATGGGCAATCTTCATAGAAATATTTCAACAAAGAAGCTTAGCAATAAAATTTGATCAATAAATAGACGATTGTAAGCCAGTAAAATTAATATTACATGAAAGTCAATTAGATACAAGAAGATCCCGAACTTATGCCGCTGGACACCTGACATTTATCGTGTCGAGTTTATTTTATCGTTTACGTAGCATTTCACTGTCGCCACTTGCTTACTTTTCTCTAAAAACTGTATGAATCACTTGTGCTTGTGAACAACATATAGAGCATACGTACATCAAACATGCTTTCATTGTACATTTTTAGTAGTATATTTGATACTCAAAATATAGCTTTTTCTTCGACTACTAGATACACGAGTCTGAAATAAATATATATATATATTTTTCTTAATAAAAGATGCAATCATTATCCTTACTTCGTATGCCGTCAAGTTCAATCCAATATTTGTCATCATCTGATCAAGCCCGTGTGACAAATATTTTCAATGCATATGAAAATACTTGCATAACAGAAAGAAATACTCGATTCAAATTTTATCCAGTTATTGAACATAAATCTATACATGGATTTTTGAATGAAATCTCACCTGTATTTCAAACTTTCGTTCAATATTTAAAACTTATACCTGAATTTAATAATCTAATTATAAATGATAAAATACGATTAATGAGAAATCATTTTGGAATTATACTTAATATTAATGAACCATATATGTATTCTGTAACACCTTCTAATCTTCTTGCAACATATACAAATGTATTTGGTTTTAATATAACGAAACGTCTTTTGAAACGTAATCAACTTATTGAACAATTTATTTATGATCCAATTATATTAAAAATTGTTCTCATTATTCTTATACTTTCAAGTAGTAATCATAGAAATATTAATCATATTGATATGAATCTAATTTGTGATGATTCATTATCTATATTTAGAGC